TTTGTATTCCATAATTGTTCTAGTGTAAAATATCTTTGGCAGATATTTGTGCTTGTTTCAAGAAATGATGCTTAAAACAATCTTATAACAAGAAATCTTTGATACATTGACCAGATTTGTGTTTTCACTTCTTAAAATATCATTTTTTGTAGTTTAAAGAGAAAATGGGGGTTAAACATGCAAAGAACCACTGAAACATCCATGGTTCTATTCGTAACCATTGCCTTTACTGAAAAACCCTTGAAGAACAACTTTCTAAGGGTGTCAGAAAAACCATAAGTAGGTTCATTAGAGATGACCTCACAACTCCACATGCTTTGAGGCAAGTGATGACTTAGGCATGATGCTAATTGGTGGGGAGTAAGATTATATTACGTGTGATCTACATTAGCCTCTTAGCTCTAAAGAAGCAAACTTCAGACACCGTTTGACAACATTTGAGGGTGGAAACTGAAAAGTTAATTTCTAACCGAACTATCGCTTTAAGAATTATTTAATGAGACCCTAACCCTAATTAATCCCACACTCTCAGAAATAAAGGTACTAAACTGTCACTGGGTCAGTTCCCCTCTTGTCACTGGGGTGGTCCCTTCAAGGGTCCATCTCAGTACCTTTAGTCAGGGAACATAACTGAACCATAATCCACTGAATGATATGTTCTAAGCTGTACTGACTCCACACACCCCGTCTCGTCTCCAGGCTTTATTTTACTGTTCTGTTTTAAAACATTCGGTTATGAAAAGGTACAAATACGAACTTTTCACCTGGAAAACACTTATTTAAGGTTCACAATCAGACCTTAAAACCACTGTTGGAGCTTTGAGGGAACATTTACACTGTTTGTACCTTGATGGACGAAAAATGTACCTGAACAGAACCTTTATTTCTAACAGTGAAATATCGGTGAATTTTTTGTCCTCTTCTCATCGATTCATAAAGAACTTGGCCTAGATATACTAGTGGCCAACGCTATTGGGCCCCACTGATTTGAAAGAGGTCAGAAAGGTCAATGAAGTTTAAGATTTGTGTTTTCACTTCTTAAAATATCATTTTTTTGTATTTTAAAGAGAAAATGGGGATTTGAGCAGTTAGCAAAAGGCTAAATAAAAGAAGTCTCTTATTTAGCATACAGCTAGCACAGGGTTTAAGCTGGGGAAACTAGCATAACACTGTTGATGATATGTGGTCACTAGCTGCTAATCAACTAATCATAAGACTACATGGGACGCCGAGACACTCCAAATAAAGAGGCTAGTGTTTCTGTCCCCCTCACTAACGGCCAAAAAGACAATCGCTGACCAGTGAAAGAGCAAACAATGCAGTAATAAGAATTACTCAAGCATGCTTGGGCGTGAATCGGTCAAAAACCAACACGCCGCAGCGGCTATTGTCGCAGAGCCTTTCTCACTGGCTCTCTTCCTTTTACGTTTGCTAACATTAGCATCCGCTGCGAGGCCTTTGTGGCTTCTAAGTAGGTTTGAAGGCTTTGTTCTCAGGGTCTGGGTGTTTGTGGAGAAACTCTGGAGAAGCTGAAAGGAGGAGGGACATTTGGCGGCGAGAGAAAAAAAAGCTCGAGCTCAGCCCCGGCTTCGGGTGCCACGGCAGACAAGAGGATTAGCCTGCGAGGACGGCCAGGAACTAATCTATTGTGGCATAATAGAACTGTACATAAATGCGCTGAAAGGAGAAAGCTGGAGGGCAGCAAAGGCTACAGCGGTGTGAAAACAAGTTCTCAGAAAAAGAGACAGGAGGGACGTCTTTTGGAGACAGTGTTGGAACGAGAGTTCTTGGAAAAACAGGCTAATTTCTTAAACAATGCTGACTGGCCTTCTAGTCAGGTGTGCAGGGAGAAAAACATGAGGGAAACAAATAGTTCAGCATCAAAATAACATTCATTAAAAGAATTTAACAAAGTTAGAGCAGCTATGAAGGTGGATATATACAGGTATATACAGTAAATAAACACTGCTAAAGCTACGTTCACATTACAAACCTCATTGCTCAAATCCAATGTTTTGCTCAAATCCGATCTCACTGACAGGATGGTTCACACTCGTTTAGGTAAGTGATTCAAATCTGTCATTAATGTGATGAACCGGCGTCCTGAAATGACCCACATGAGCTCATCCTACTCAGTAACGTCATGTGAATGAATCACGTTCATCATCAGCACAAACTAACGAGCAGAACGAGCTTCGCTGAGAAGATCATTAACTCTGATCAGCTCTCAGCTTCATTATTAGAGCGAGACGAAGGAGAAAAAGGTGAGATGAGCTGCTTTTCCACCGTTTACAGGCTTTAACTTCTGTTCGGCGCTGCTACCATGGTAACGCTGAATGATGGTCACGCGCAGTGAAAAAAAAGCACATGAATTCCGATCTGAGCGTCATATTAAGGTCACATGGCCATGAATCAGATACGTATCTGATCTATGACCACACATGTAAGTGACTAGTGATTTGAAAAGATTAGATTTGTGTCCACACAGCCCTGAAAACATCAGATCTGAGTCACATTAGGGCAAAAAATCTGATTTCAACCTGGTAATGTGAACGTAGCCTAAAAGTAGTATTTCCCTTATTGTGGATCCTCAGTGAACCTGTATTAAGAGCTGCCTCTATAGACGTCAATGCAGCCAGAACAGTAGTGTTATTGGTGAAGGATGCAAATTTACATGTCTAAAGCCTTTTTTCCACTGCATGGTACCAGCTCAACTCAACTCAGCTTGACAGGATTCGTTTTTGGTACCAGCTGCTTAGTTTTGCACAGGAGATATAGCGCCCCCTCAATGTAGCTGGCCATCATACACTATAAAAAATGGCTCATCAGTTCAACCTAAAAATGTACTTCATGTGGTAACAAGTAAATTACTAAGTAATTAACTTTTGAGTTGAATAAAACCAGTTCAGTTGCTTGTTACTACATGAAGGAATTTTTTTAGGTTGAACTGATGAGCCATTTTTTTATAGTGTAGCAATGGCAACTGAAACTGCCGTAACATGAAGGAGACAAATGTTGCACAGAAGAGGCTGATATCAGCGAGACAAAAGACGGCTGAAAAAAAAAAAGGAGAGTTTGGGAAAAATCAATCTATCAGTTCAGACGATGAGATGATTCTGGTTGCTCAAAAAAAGGCGATGCAAGAGGCTACACTAACCATGTGGGTCATTCTACATTCATAAATATAGATATATAGTTTTTATATATATATATATATGAATGATATAAATCAATCATATAGAATTCCAAGCACCACAGAAGAGCTCGTCCCCACGGTCATGTGTAAAGGGTGAGGCCATATTTTGAAGAAAAAAAACACATTTTTCTGCAATTTTAACTACAATAATCTATACACGACTATGGAATATATAGATTACATGAATAAAAAAACAAATGCCAAATAAATATTATAAAATATATAATGAAAGTTGTCCCCAGGAGTCGTGTCACTGGTGTTACTGCATAACAAAAAATCTCTTATTTTGAAATAAAAGTCACACTGATGACATCACTTGACTTCCTTTTACCTGTTTTCTGAGGATCTATGAAGAAAAGCACATGGTGAGTCCACTGTGTCTTTCAGTTATCAGAGATTTTCTCATTTAGCTCATGATTTCATATGAAGCTTTTAGCTGAAGTCACTGGTGTGACCGACTTTATTCTGAGGTCATTGTGAAAAAATAGAATACAAATGGATTAAATTACATATTTTAGTGGATATTCAATGATTGACAACATGTGGTTTGATGCTCTGTAGCAGTTATTTTGTAAAATGCATTCTATATTAAAATGTCTCTGGTGTTCCTTTATTATGTGTAACACCGATAAGGATCGGTAACACCAGTGACTCCTATGGAGAGATAGAGAAGTGGACGTTTCTGTTGAATGACCCACATGTGTTTAGCAGTTCTCGCTCTATCAGTAATCTGCAGTTTTTTCACATCGCCTTTTGGGTATCAACTCGCGTTTGGAACCTCAACGGAGATGATACCATAAATAGTACCCGGGAAACCAGGTACCAGATTTGCCTAGTGGAAAGCCAAAAAAGGCGAGTCGAGTCGAGTCGAGCCGGTACCATGCAGTGGAAAAGCAGCTAAAACTTCAAAGAACAGTAATTTGGCTTTTTCAAAACATTTTAATTATAGCCTACACTCATAAAAAAGATTCTTCAAAGGTTTTTTAGTAAAGAAAATGGTTCAATATAGAACCATGAACACTCAAAGAACCCTTCACATGATTAAAGGGTTCTTTGCATCATAAAGGGGTTCTTCGGATTGATGGAAAATGTGCTTGAATTTGCTATAGACGGTTCTATATAGAACCTTATTGAAAAGGGTTCTATATAGCACCCAAAAGTGTTCTATTGTTACAAGCTTGACACTTTAACAATAGAAGAACCTTTCTGGGTGCTATATAGAACCATATAGGCACATTCTCATCAGTCTTCACAATGCAAAGAACGAGTTAATCATGCAAAGGGTTCTTTGAGTGTTCATGGTTCTATATAGAACCAATTTCTTTCCCAAAAAAGCACCATCTTTTTTTATGAGTGTCTTCTCAAAACTATCATAAAAACAATGACATCAGGCGGTGAATTCATAAGCATTTCATGTAGTAACTTTCTGTGAGGGAGCTTTTAGAGGTGGACGTCTGGTTCCTATCAGCACCACTGTGAACAGTTCTGACCCTGTTTTGTTTACATCTTAATCATTTAATTATGCAGAAATTCTGAAAAATCATTGGACTTGCCCTTTAACGAACGTGTGCTGATACGATTCCGAGTCTGCTCTCCCGTGTCCCTGAATGAGCTCCTTATCCAAACAGCCTGAGTGCATATTTCATGCTTCATAAAACGGAACGCGATGAGTAAATTTGCTGAGCTGCAGTTCAGTGTTGTGAGCGCCGCTGCCAAAGTAAACGGCGGAGGTGGAGAATGTGTGCAGTGTCGGCCGAACGGCCCTCAGACTAAAACAGGTAAACAGGAAAAGTCCGAAACTGGGTTAAAGGAACCGGGGGGATTATTTTATTACTGAACAGTATGTACAGAGTCTAACCACTGAAAAATAACATAACATAGGACTATATTTACAATTTCATTTTTTACAAAACGTCTTTACAAGAAGCTGTCAGTTCCAAAAAAACAAAACAAAGCTAAGCTAGAACACACACACATACACACACTCAAATACACATAAATCAAAACTTGAAATACACACATAAATAAATATTGGCATTCAATGACTGTTTCACAACAAATATCTCTACAGCCAAGAACATATACAGTTTCATCATCAAAAAAAGTTCCACACAAGAAGCTATAAGGTCATTAATAATAACAATATGGAATATTACTCCTCATATAAGTCTCTGTTAATCTGTTAAGGGAATATTGCTAACATATTCACAAAGAGGTAACACGGATTATTTTCATGCCTACTGAACAATAAAGGTTTGACATGCACTTTTAACGCTAACGTAACTCAATTTACAAAGCAGATCAGCCTCTTCCCACCAGCTGAACCTCGCCAGGCCTCAGTACCGTCTGCCGTCATTCCTGGGCGAGAAAATCACGCAGCTGAATTCCAAACGCAGCGTTCCTTTCGTCAGAATCTGTAGCTCTGAAGATACATTCAACTATTCGAAGTGGGGGATGGGGTGGGGAGGGGAACGCAGACCCTCAACCTTGACCTCCATGTGTTAACGTGGCTTGAGAGGAGGAAAGCGTTTTAAAGAGAATGCTTTCTGCATGAGTAGTCCAGAGTGAGCACATTCCAAACCCAAATAAAATCACGGAGCTCTGAACGAAGAAGCAGCTCTGCCAGAAGTCGTCCAGAAGGTCGCGAGTGCTGAGTGCTTGGACCCCGAGGATTGCCAAGTTGAAGTGGACCATCTCAGTGCTTTCTTGCCGAGGGTTTCTGATGCTGAGGGTGCTGACGGAGTTTGGGCTCTGAAAGAAGCATAAAGAACGTATCAGAATTAGCAGCAGATACTCTTGGAAGAACATAACTTTAATATTCTGCTGTTTAATTTAATAATATTAAAACTGAGCTCCAACTTTTACAGCTGCACAAAAAAGCAAGGAAATTCACAAAGCAAGATTCTCTGACAAGTGCCAATGTGATCAAAAGCCCATGGATGAGCTACACGAGTTTATTTTAGGGCAAAATCAGAATAACAATATGAAAAATCCAGATTAAAAATGTCGCTGCAAGTGGCAATCACTGGGTCCAAGCACTTTTCACATGTTAGCGCAAATGTGTAACATGTCAAATCAAATCCAATCATGTTTATTGTTACATCACATTTACAAGATGTGAAGGTGAGTGAAAATACAAAAATAAATAAAAAAAAGTATATAAAAAAGATACACATTAGACTGTTTTATATATATATATATATATATTCCAGGTTATACAAAATAGGAATATAAGATGTACAAGATGTCAATTTATATGTGCAGGTATAGGATTGCTGGATTGAAGTTACAGTCAGATCAGAGTTAAAATCCGAAGGTTATGTAGTTAAACAGGTTCAAATAAAATGTGTTTTTGGTCTTTTGGTCACCTTTTTGTGTTGTCATAGCAATGCCATCTGTGAATTTTCATAGCAGTTAAGATGATTTTTTCCAGATTTCCTCTGAACACTATTTTTGTACCATAAAAGTATCTTGTTCATCATAAATGTTTTTGATTACTGACTTCACAGAATTTTTGTGGTCACAAATAAATTTGCCATATTCAGCACAGCTTCTTTTTACTAATTATTTATTTTGATGCAGATGTTTTTATGTATTTAACTTGAAAAGCTTGTCTGGTTCAAACAACATAGAAATATGGGGTAAGCTGTAACGCTTGCACTCGTTGTGTCTTTGGCTGAATTGTTTGTGGATGGCAGATGCTGGAAACCAGGCTTTATTTGTAGCAGGGATGTGTAGGTTGCTTGTATTAAAAAGTGTTAATGTTGCTCAAATATTTTTACAATTATTCAGCAAAAACTTAATATGCAAGGATGTGCTTTGCTCTCCCCACCTTCCCAATTCTGTAGTTACTGTTATAGCACCTCCTTTTGATCAAAGTCCACCCATGTTTTCAGGCTGTTGCAGTATGATGTAGCAGGCAAGTGAGCTATGTTTTGTGACAAAGCCTTAGTGTTGCAGAGCTAGACGTGATCTTGTAATGAGAGTGTGTCTGGGGATGTGAAAGTGAGAAAAGCTTGGACCTCAGAGATTCTATTTTTGTTAAATTTATTTAAAAAGGATGGCTTTCTTGGCAACTCTAGTGCATTTTCTGCATTCACATTTTGACACGGTGGAAAGTTTCGCCAAGACATTGCCAAGATAGGCGACGTGGAATCTGTTGATGCTGGATGACTGTGGTTTATGAAGCATCAGACTCTAATTACAAACAAAAATCTACAACAAAACATTTCAAATTTTCTTTCTTAATGCTGGCATTGCATACAATACATGTGTCGCTAGAGACGTAACTGTGCATAATGCATATTTAATTTTTCAGATGAGCCACATGTGAGACAGACAAAAACAAACATTTCCTGTGATTTTTTTTGTCCACTGTAATTTAATGATAATTATTATATAAATTTACTAATTCCTAATTTTAAGTCTTACTTGCTATTTATAATTATTTTGTATCTTAAAGAAAACAACAGATGTATTCTGGTGCAAAATAGAAAATTACTGTTGTGATGTCTAAATTTAATATCCAGAATTAAATTAAAATCCAGAGTGAATTAATCATCTAAACCTACATTTTGGTGTTATAAACAAAATTCCTTTTGTAACTTTTTAACAGAATCTTGTTTAAACTTGCACTTTTCAAACTCTTCATAAATTCAACACTGAAAATAGCTAATGCTAGCTAACTGTGTTAACTGTCCCTGCTGGTTTGTGTGAGTAAACGGCTAGACTTCTTCTATCTCCTCTTTTAGAGGGTAAAGACACACAGCGCCACCTAGTGTACTGATGTTCAGGCCTTTTGCTGCTGACAGCAGATTGAGGAACAGAACAGCATCATCATTTTACCAAAATTACCTCAAACACACATTTTTGATGTTTAAAAATGTTTGATTTCACTAATTACCAGTATTGTTTTATGGCCCAAGCCTGTTGGCGGACCATGAGAACTTACTGTGCAGGGCTGAGAAAATGGTGGGCGTCTGAAACGTCTTCATGGTGGCCGGCCCCTCCCCCACTGTGGTGATGACCTGAACCTCCAGCCTGTAGGAAGTAGCTGGTCTGAGGTTGGACACAACCAGGAAGTTATGGTCCTAAAAAAGACACCAACAGGAAGTTACAGTCCTGAAAAAGTTTTTAACTGCTGAACACAAAGCCAATAAATCAGCATTCTACACAGCCGAGTTAAACTATATAAGATATCTTAATTCCAAATGTCAATATATCTTCATATAAAAGGCCTATGTTCTACACATTTTCATCACATCATGAAGTTCATAAAATTAAAATATAAATTTTAATTTGTAATAGAATAAACATCTGCTTGAATTCGAATGAAATTTACATCTAATTGAATTTCTAATAAAATTAATATCCAGACTAAAGTTCTAATAAAATGAATATCTGGATTGAAGTTCTAGTAAAATTAATATGCAAAATGAAGTTCTAACAAAATTAACATCCATAACAGAGTTCTATTAAATTTAATATCCAGAATAAAGTTCTAACAAAATTAATATCAAGAAAAATCTTAAAGAAAATCTCAAAACTCAGATAGACATTACTGTAAACAGTTAATAACTGCATATCTGCATTTACCATCAAATAACTTAATACCCAAAACACTTAAAATATTTGCTTGTATAAGTTTGTGCTATTTCAAACTATACTTTATAGGTTATTATTGTTTAAAATAACAGTGACAAGTGATTCCAAACCTTTTCCTGTAGGGTATGTAAGTGTTTGGTTTATGTAGCGGTATGTTAGCATTATGCTAGCAGTTTCCTAGTTGGATCAGAGAAGAACATGTTTGTCGTACAGATTGTATTGGTTTATGTTGTAAACACTAACCGGAGGTAATATCTGGGACTGGGAGATGATGCTGTTGGGGAGGCTGTTCTGTCGACTTGCTGTGGTAACTTCCGCCCATGTGACCTGGAAGCCTGTGATTGGCTGCTGCGGCTGTGGGCGGGACACTCTCCAGTGAAAGCTTCCAGTGACGTTTCCCTCGTGGGTGCTGAAGGACGCCGTCAGATTCTCTGGTTTCGCCAGGACTTTTGGGGCTCCTGAGTTAATCAGAGAAACAGGTCTTATATTTACAAAACTGTACAGAAATATGCAATCAGTGTTTTCAATCCAAACAAAAAATTACAATCCAGAAGGAACTAATAAAATTAACATCTAAAAACAAAGTTCTGATTAAATTAATGTCAAGAATGAACTTAAAATTAATATCCAGAATGAGGTCCAAGAAAATTATCCAGAGTGACATTCTTACAAAATTAATATCCAGAAACAAGCGGTGATAAAATTAACATCCAAAATGCAGCTCTAAAAATTAATATACAGGACTAAATTAGCATCCAGAATGAAAACGTTATATTCAGAATTGACTTCAAATGAATTTAGCATCCAGAAAGAAGGTCTAAAAAATATCCAGAATGCTTCGTATTTCAGAAGTGATCAAATCTCAAGGCAGATAACTCACTATAAATTGACAATTACAGTATGTTATTTATCATTTAATAACTTCTTGTTCTCAAAATGTTATATAAAACATCTAAAATACCTTCTGGTATTTAGTTTATACGTTGAATTACATTGTGTTAGTTATTGCTGTACATAAAATAACAACATATGACAAAGTGATTCCAAATGGTTGTACATAAATAGAAGCACATGGAGAATAAAGTTTCCAGAGACTGAATAAGCAGCACATACTTTGGTGCCACAGGGAAAAGAAAACCAGGCAAAAGATCCTGCGGCTATAATCTGTCATGGATATTTGCATTGCATTTACATAAGAACCGAGTCCCAGCAGAAGGTGAGTGGACTCATTCATTTTATTTATTTAAAGGGGTATGTTGGCACACGTCGTTTCAAAAACACATAATCAAGTCTATGCAGTTAGCACGATGCTAATTTGTGGGGTATAAGCTTCCATTACTTACTACATGTATATTAGCCTCGTAAAGAAGCTCCAAACACGTCTTGGCTGATCGACTACATTTGGACTAAAGGTAAAATTGTGCACATTAGACATTTGATTCATATAAATTTACAAAAAAATGGATTGTGATTGGTTGCTGACCTCCCTCGCCCGGACAGGTGATTGGTTTGTGGGTTTTGCTCCGCAGTGTGGTGCAGGACGGGGTGATGAACACGGTGCTGTCGTCCTCAGAGCGTCGCTTGTTCTTTAGAGTGTAAACACTCACTCTGTACTTGCAGGAGAAGAGCAGGCCAGGCAGGTTGATGTAGTTCTCCTGAGGAACACACACACACTCATTAACCCTCAGTTACTACTGTGGTTTTCATATTTTACTTATATATGAAAACGGCTTATAATTATAGTTAAAAAAAGGTAAAATTGTTTTTCTCTAGCTGGTCTATGTGGCTTTAAAAGACAAGTAATACATAAGTAACTGTTATGTAAAGTGATACAGTAATATAGTTATGTAGTATATATAACACTATTGAATATGTAGTAATATAGTAAAATGCTCAATATACACATATACACATATGACTGCACACATAAATTGATCAGTTATTAAAACAATTCAGCTGTTCATTGAATAATCTTTGTTATGTTGCTTAGCAACCAAAGCCTGCTATTAACAAACTACATTGTGGAAGAACTGTTTGTTGTGATTACTATTAATGCTAAATTAAATGTGTGTATTTTGTTAAATTTTGTTGTTTACTGATTTACTTTGCTTTATATTGTGCCTAACAACAGCCCTCAACAGTGGGAAAATTATATAACATATAATATAATATTATAATGTACTATAGACCACTTTGGCACTATGCTATATTATTTTTACATTAAAAAATGTGTTTTTCAATACGTTATAAAGTTATTTTTGATGCATACATATATAAAATATGTGCGTATATATATATATATATATTTTTTTTTATTTTTCCAGGGAGGGGCATGCTTATGTCTCTGAGAGATGCAGGCACCGAGCCACAGTTCAGCTGGGCCGGGAAACGTCTCTGGAATGTTGCATTTTCCCAGCGCTCAATACAAAACGGATGCGCATCCCCTAGCAACAGGAGCAGTGCGCCCTGAAGAATGTGCCGAGTCTTCAGGGCCACTGCCGTCCTCCATCACTCTTATTCTCTCACACCAGAGCTCTCCAGGCTGTTTTCGGTGGGGGGTTGAGGTAGGATCCCATTTAAAAATGTAATATATAGGGAAAGCATACTACATTATACTTTTGACTATACTTACTACATATTACCATATTTCATTTTCACAGAGCATAAAAGTGAAAAGTGTTTTGGGCTTGATTTAGAGGCAGGAACTGCTCTTAGAGCTAACAAACCTCAGTACTTACAGACCTGTGAAGCTGTGCGTCATGTAGTCAGTGTCCTGCCCATATTAGGAGCTCAGAGTTTAAACTAGTTTTCTCTATGGGAAAAATGAATGGCGTTCTCGAAAGTCTGCCCTGTGATAACACTGTTCCAAACCAGAACTGCTTCTGCATACATACGATTTTCCCCAGAATGTCACTGGATCCTCTGAATTATGAGATTTTTAAGGAGTCAAAACACAAATAATGATACAAACATGCTACAAGCAAGCTAACACTGCTATGCTCTGAAATAACATTGCCTAAAATTGAGTCTACTATTAAACTTCAACACTGTTTTATACCAACACCAGCTACTCAGCCTGCAGCCTGAAACAACTTCATAGAACATACCAGTGGCAGCTCAGTGTTTTACAGACAGGTGATGAGATTTAACAATAACAGAAGAAATTACAGTTGAGTTTGATTTTCTTCTATTATAGTTACTGCTTACTTACAGCAATATTAAGAAAAAATAAATGGATAAATAAAAGTTAAGAGTATTAATTCACATCATATAACAAAGATAAATACAAGAAGAGACTGAATTGTAATTAAAAGCTAAATTAAATTAAACTCAAATGTTTCTTAAAAGTGCATACTGAGATAAAAGGTAGTGAGCTGCATATATATATTTTTTTCAGAGGGTATCCACAGAACATTGGTCTCTGCAGATCTAAGATCAAGTGTTGGAACATAGATATTCTGGAGGTGTGCAGGAGCTTTACGGCCATTTAGAACTTTAAAAACTAGTAAAGGAACTTTAAATCCATCTTGAAAGATACAGGCAGCCAGTGTTCGTATTTCGACTCCTTAACAGCCGCATCATTCAGAGGATCCGGTGACCTTCACAGGAAAATCTCATTGATCTTATTTTTCTCATACAGAAACATAGTTTAGAGCTTAGAGCTCCTAATATGGGCACAAGGCCGACTACAGAACTGTCGCATGCCTTCAGACGTCTTTGTGCACATCTTAAAGATATTAAAAAACATTCTGAGTCACGAACCTGTGTGACGGATTTCTCCGGCGGTTTCGTCTCGTTGTGGTTGCAGTGCTCGGGCGCCCACTGGACGTGATGGCGGCTCGCAGCAGGATCTATGAAAAAAAGCACAGAGAGTGAGACAGAGCTGCCAGAGTGAGTGAGGTTTGGCTGAGTAGTGCTCTTAAAGCTGGGCGATATAGGAAAAATATCACGATACTTTATGAAATTTTCATGGTATATGATGTGCATCATGATATTTAGTTTTTCTGAGATTGCAGAAGTTGGAACAGACAAAATAGAACCACATATAAAAATACCATAATAATGATAGTTATGATTATATATCCTGGAGGACACAGTGTATATTATATAGTTACACAGCCCAGAGGACACAGTGTCCATGATTTCCAAAAAGAATTTCAAATGTTGATTCGTTGGACCACAGGACACTTTTCCACTTCCCCTCAGTCCATTTTAAATGAGCTCGGGCCCAGAGAAGGTGGCAGCGTTTCTGGGTCCTGTTTATATATGATTTCTTCTTTGCGTTTTAGAGTTTTAACTTGCATTTGTGGATGCAGTGATGAACTGTGTTCACAGACAGTGGTTTTCAGAAGTGTTTCTGAGCCCATGCAGTGATTTCCACTACAGAATCATGTCTGTTTTTAATGAAGTGCCGCCTGAGGGCCCAAAGATCACAGCCAGCTAATACTGTTTTTGGCCTTGTCCCTCACATACAGAGATTTCTCCAGATTCTCTGAATCTTTTAATGATATTATGTACCGTAGATGACAAATAGCAAAAGTTCTTTGCTATTTTACATTGAGAAAAATGTTATTCTTGAATTATTGCAATTCAGTTTCAACATTTGATTAGGTGTCTTTGCACTATTTTCAATGAAATATAGGGTTTAAATGATTTGCACATCATTGCATTTTGTTTTTATTTACATTTTGCACAGCGTCCCAACTTCTTTTGGAAATGGGGTTGTATTAAAGCTAACTTTCGCAGCACTTACTATATTAAAATGTTCTTCAACCAATTCAATTTGTGACATTCGTGTAAACAGCTTAGGTAAATAGCCAATGGAGACCGATCAGCTTGTCAGGGGGACCACCACGGCCCTCTAGGAGCAGAAGTGGACCAGAGGCCGGCTGCACCAGCAGTACTTATGTTCAACCGGAGGCTAGTTATACTGTAAGTGTAGGACCAAAAACACGACTCGTTTGGCTAACTAAGCTAAAAACACTGAACGCTATATGCTGTGATTTTAAAGCTCTTATCATCGCCCTGGTTTTAACTCTGAACGTGAAGCTACACCCACAGCTCCAGCTCACTGAGACTCAGCTGTGAAACGTTTAAACTGACGCTGTTGTGTCTGTTGTGCCAGAAACTGTTGTGAAAAATGCTGCATATTTGGCTCACAGGGAAATATTAAAGAATAAACAGACACTCGGCGCCAGTGTTCAGGTTCATTCAGTTCAACTTGTGCACATCGCTCCCTTCTTTACTGGATGATTTTCCATGGAAAAGGTCAGCGCAGCTGATGCGTTTCCATGGCAACGGGTTTATAGATTGGTTCTGGATACAATATCATCATGTTAAAGCGACGTACACATTAGCTGTTACCAGTTAAGACGTCACTTAACGGTTTGTGGTGCAGCCAAATTTTGTAAACAGATTAAATAGTTTGAAACTAATGCCAAGACTTTATGGACAAACTTGAGTACAAACTTTCGCAAAACTGCTGAAACCCAGTCCTGGACCAGAAGTAGACATGTAGGGGTGTCTATGACCGCCCCCCAGGTCAAATGTGGCCTCCGGCATCCTCTTAGAACGCATGACAGGTGACCTGCCAGTTTTTCTGTTCACTTAACAGCGGCTGTGAAAACTTACATTTTGTAGTGTTGCACTACACTCTGTTAACAAAGCTACACTCTTAAAAATGGTTCTTCAAGGGTTCTTTAGTAAAGAAAATAGTTCTGTATAGAACCATGAACATGCAAAGAGCCCTTGCATGATTAGAGAACCAAAGCACCGAAAAGTGTTCTTCGATTGTTGCGATATCTACCTTGTTACAATAGCAGAACCCTTTTTGGTGCTATTTAGAACCATTTTCAAAAAGATTTTATATAGAACCATCTACGGCACATTCTCCATCAATCTGAAGAACACTCTCACCATGCACAGAACCCTGTCATCATGCAAAGGGTTCTTTGAGTGTTCATGGTTTTATACAGAACCATTTTTTTTACTAAGAACCCTTAAAGAACCATTTTTTAAGAGTTTATTTAGTTGCAAGATTGTTCTTCAAGGGTTCTTTAGTAAAGAAAATGGTTCTGTATAAAACCATGAACACTCAAAGAACCCTCTGCATGACTTAAGGGTTCTTCAGATTGATAGAGAATGTGCTGTATATGGTTCTATACAGCACCAAAATAGGTTCTTCTATTGTTATAATATCAACCTTGTTACAATAGAAGAACTCTTTTTGGTGCTATATAGAACCATTTTCAAAAAGGTTTTATATAGAACCATCTACAGCACATTTTCCACCAATCAAAACCAATCATGCAAAGGGTTCTTTGAGTGTTTATGGTTCTATATGGAATGATTTTCTTTACTAAAGAACGCTTTCTTTGCATCATGAAAGAGTTTTTCAAATTGTTGAAGATGGTTCTATGTAGAACTCTTTTTGAAAAGGGGTCTATTTAGCACCAAAAGGGTTCCACTATTATGACAAGCCAAAGAACCCTTTTTGGTCCTATATAAAACGATGTCAAGCCTGTAACAATAGCAGAACCCTTTTTGGTGCTATATAGAACTCTATATAGAAAAATATTCTATATAGAACCGTCTACAGCACATTCTACATCAGTGTTAAGAACCCTTTCACGATGCAAAGAACCCTGTAATCATGAAGAGGGTTCTTTGAGTATTCATGGTTCTATATAGATCTATATCTTTACTAAAGGGTTCTATATAGCACAAAAAAGTGTTCTCTCATTGTTACGATATCAACCTTGTTACAATAGAAGAACCCTTTTTGGTGCTAAATAGAATACTTTTCAAAAAGATTGTATACAGAACCGTCTACAGCACATTCTCCATCAATCTGAAGAAGGCTTTCACAAAGCAAAGAACCCTTTTTTAAGCAAAGGCTTCTTTGAGTGTTCATGGTTGTATTTTTCTTTACCGAAGAACCTTTGAAGAACCATCTTTTTTAAGAGGGCAGCCAACACGTACCAGCCCATTTTCTCTAGACATGCAAATTAATTTAGTCTTGAGTAAAACCAAACAGCAGGAAGTTGAAAGTCATTGTAAGAGAGACTGAATCTGAATTCTAGAGCCGTAGGGAACGTGTGCGCCTTATATGTCTAGAGCCTGTAATGAATTTAATACCAAAAGACATTATGGAACAGAGTGGGCATTACAGTCAATATCCAGTGGACGAGAGGGCAGAGAAGCTGAAGCGGCTGGACGCTCCCTGGACCCCACAGCAGCGTTTAATCAGAGCAAGTTCAGTAGTTCAATAAATATTGATTGTTCTCTCTGTTTGTGTTTCTCATGTTTTGAATACTAACCACACTTTAAATTATTTATGAATGGTGTTTTGGTGAGGGGTGACCGGCCCTTGGGAACTTTGAGATGGTCCAGTCTGGCCTCCACTGGAAAACCAGTGGACCCCCCTTCATGTGTGCTGTATTCAATCAACCAGACCAAACAACCCACAGCAGCAGACGCAACACAGAATAAGACTAAACAAAACGACAGGATGAGACAACTTAGGCAGTAGTACACTCTTACAGATGGATCTTTAAGGGTTCTTTAGTGAAGAAAATGGTTCTATATAGAACCATGAACACTCAAAGAACCCTTTGAATGATTAAAGGGTTCTTTGCACCATGAAAGAGTTCTTCATATTGATGGAGAATGTGTTGTAGTTTGTTCTATATAGAATTTTTTGAAAAGGGTTCTAGGTAGCACCAAAGGGGTTCTTCTATTCTTCTACTCTTAAAAAAAAGGATCTACAAGAGGTCTTTAACAAACAAAATGGTTCTATATAGAATAATAAACACTCAAAAAACCCTTTGCATGAATTAAGGGTTCTTTGCACCATGAAAGCGTTCTTCAGATTGACGGAGAATGTGCTGTAGGTGGTTCTATATAGAACTCTTTGTAAAGGGGTTCCATATAGCACCAAAAAGGGTTCTTTTATTATACTCTTAAAAAAAGATGTTCTTCAAGGGTTCTTTAGTTAGGAAAATGGTTCTATACATAACCATGAACATTTAAAGACTCTTTGCATGATTAAAGGGTTCTTTGCACCGTGAAAGGTTCTTCAGAGTGATGGGGAAAGTGTTGAAGAGGGTTTTATATAGAACTCTATAGGGTTTCAAGCCTATAACAAAAGAAGAATGCTGTTTGGTGCTAGATAGAACCCTTTTCAAAAAGACTCAACACAGAACCATATAAAACACATTCTCCATCAATCTGAGAACCCTTTCAGGATGCTAAAAACCCTTTACTCACGCAAAGAGTTCTTTGAGTGTTCATGGTTTTATATAGAACCATTTTCATTACTAAAGAACCTTTGAAGAACCACCTTTTTGAATGTGTAGCTAAAAAACTTTGACTAACTCCCTGCATTTAAGCTGAAAAGGCGCTTGAAAGCAAAATCAGAGGCCACAGTTTTTATTGCATGATTATATAAACCTGAAGATGCTGATTTGCCATATTTATTCATAAGAACTCAACTGGTAAAAGAATTCTTGGCACAAAGAAAAGAACTGTATCCTTCGCTGAACTTGCAGTGTAGCGTAGCTCAAACTCCGAATTAGCCTTAAATGACTGGCGTATGGGCTAAATGAACTTTCCCGACCCTGAAAATTAGCGTAGTGGCTACATCGCTGCCAAAATCTACATTTCTTCTACCTGCGAGCGCAATTAGGCATTAACTTCCACAGCAGCATGTGGACGCGCTCTGCTCCTGCGCCGGAGCTCCATGCTGCTAATCACCGCTGTTTATGCTAACTGGTTGTTTGAGTTCATTATTCATCGAGCCGCCGCCGCTTGGACGTGAAACGCAACTCCTCCAATTAATAATTGAGTTACG